GGGGGAGAGATCGGGCCAGCCCCCTCCATGGTCACCGAACCGTGCCCGCAGCCTGTCTCCCGGCACAGTGCAGATCGCTGGGCCGACGGTGTGGAAAGAGCCCAGCCGAGCGGGTGGCACTCCGGGCGGGACTCGTGCAGAACCAAGGGGAGTGGAGCCTAGAATGACTCCTGGAGCTGGAGATCTGGGGCATCTCTCTCCCCATCTTGCCTAGGGAAAGTCCTCGCCGGCTTTCACTCCCCGGCAACGCCGGGTTCGTAAACTTGCTCAAATCAAACCCGACGCCCCGCGGCGGAAGCGGTAAAGCCCAGACGAGAGTCAGGCACCTGCTGGCTAACACGGCTCGGTAGTAACCGCTGAGCTAAAGCGGAGCGATGCCTCGCACCGACCACGCGGTGTCAAGGCAGAGCTCACCAGCCCGAGGGGCTAACATCCCGAGTCAGAGCGGATCCTGGGTCCGTGTCCTTCGAGCACCCCATTTACCTCCAGCTGCCGAGGTGCCTGTTGGGGGGGTCAGCCCTGCAGTGGTGGTAGGGGTGCCAGAGCAGGGCGGTGCTGACAGCCCTTCAGCCCCGCCCTCTTTCCGGACGGCAGGTGGGGTCACTCCCCGCCCAGTCTGCTTCTCTGCCAGCTGCAGAGGACGAGGCTCGGACTGTCCCTCGGTCTCTCTTGCCGGTCGGCGGCCGCTGTTTTCTCCTCCGGGAGTCTCAGCTCCTTCCCTATGCCCGGGGACCAGAGCAAGCAGCGCCCCCCTTCTCGCGGCGCCCGCTGGGCAGCAGCCGGGTCAGCGTCTGGGGGAGCCTGCTGCTTCGCTTCGTCTCCGCTTTGGCGCCCTCCCGCTTTTCGCCAAGTGCAGCCGGGTGCAGCGATTCCTCCACCAGCCGCCGCCTCCCGCCACAGCGCACCCTAGGCGGCACACAGCGCTGCAACAGGCGGAGAGCAACTACTGCAGCTCCCGCGCTCCCCCGCCGCTGGGGGTCGTGCAGCGCTGGAGCGGGAAGGCCCCTAGGATGGAAGGAGGAAGGAGCAGGAACTGCCCCAGTCCACAAACGAGCTGTCCCTTGGCGCATGCTGTTTTCAGCGCACCGTGCTGAATGCTGCGTTTGGCCGGTGCAGCAGCTCGGCCAATGTTTGCGCGGCTCAGTCGGCGGTCAGGTCAGCGCTGCGCTGAGTGCGGTGGGGGAGGGAGGGGTGAAAACCTCTGTGCTTTGAGCGGTGTGCGTGGGGGCGCGTCCAGCCTCGGTTTCGGGAGCTGGACAGCCAAGCACAAGGGAGGGCCCTTCCCTAATAACAGGCTTTTTTACACCTGACGTCCAGAAAAGGCAAAAACAGCCTGTGGCTGCAAAGAGAACAGCAGAGGGGAGGGATTTCTTGGGGGGAATGGCCAGCTGTTAATGGCTAAATCGCGTGCAACACCTTTTAATGATTCTGGACCATCACCTCTTGTGCACAAATCTTGCCAAGGTTACAATTTGATCTTTTATAGTTCTCTTCTTCCCTCCTATTGTTTGTCACACTCATCTGTTGCATCTTGTCTTAAATTATATCATCCTGGAAATACTTTAGTTGGCACCAGTAGTACCAGGGAAGTCCACAGACTCCTCACCATGACTAATAATATCTAGCTGTTAAAGGTTTCAAATGATCATTAGGTTTCAAATGATAAAGTTATGCATGTGCTTAAGTGTTTACAAATCTCTTTGTAATTCTTTCAGGGCATATTATGTATTTGTACAGCAAATAACGGGTCATCTGAAGAAGTGGGCTGTGCCCATGAAAGTTCATGACACCATATACATGTTTTGTTAGTCTATAAAGTGCTACCAGACCATTTGTTGTTTTTTTTCTGTACAGACTAACTCGGCAACCCCTTGAAGCTTTAGAACCTCAGAGTTAGCTTTAGAACCTGAAGACTGGAGATTAAGTTGGAAAGGTTCTTAACTCTGGGAAAAGGTTGCTCTTTCAAAAGTTTACAGCTGAACATAGACTTCATGCTGCTTTGAAACTTTACTACACAGAAGAAAAAAATCCTGCTTTCCTTTTTTAATAGTTTATATTTATTATGGTACTGTGCTGTGTTTACTTGTTTTTATCTTGTCTATGTTGCTGCCTAATTGTTTTCTTCCAATTCCAAAGGAAGTATGCGATTGATTTGTCAGTTTATAACTCAGGGGTTCCTAATTCTTAGAGTCTAGTGTACAACTTGTTGCTCTTTTCTTAAAAAGTTGCTAAATCCTCCACTGTGTGAGATGCAGTTCTGAAGTTGCAAGAGGGTTTAAAGATGTAACACATTGAAAAGTCCTCTATCAGCATAGTTTTTGGAAAGATAATTATGAAGAAAAAGATGAAAACAATGAAGTACCAAGCAATATCTAGCAATTATAATAATGATAAATTGTGGTTGAAAATCGTTTGGATACATACTAGACATTATTAATTAGGGGAAAGATGGCTTTTCATTGAAGGAATAATAACAGTCAGCATTTTATTAAAATGGCAGTTCAGTGATTTATTATTACAGTGCTTACATACTGTATTTTATTATGTATATTGCACTAACAGTGGTCTAGGAACTAGAGACCTATTAAAAACAAGATCCTAAATCTTTATATGATATAAATGTAAAGATATTTTTGCCTAGTAACAGAGAGGAAATTAATATTATAAAACTTGATAAAACTTTGTTTAATCAAAAACATCAGGTTTACTAACATATTTTAGTAATATTTTCAATTTTCTACTATTTTTCACTAGAGTTTAAAAATAATCTTTTACATACTTTTCCCATTGGCCAGTAAATTTAATTCCTACTACTATAGATGGTCTTTTAAAAATATTACCACAAAATTGCAAAATTCTTACCTTATGTGTCAAAGTTTGGGGGCTACTGGGATCTGGCATGTTGAGCTGAGTCCCTGAAAGTACTTTTTTGCACTTATGAACTGCTCTAGTGAAAGGTACTAAAAAGTGCTCTTATGTTTTACATATGGAGAAACTGAGACACCGGAAACTAGGTGACTTGCCCAAAGTCATGCCCATGGCAGAATCTGACAAAGAACTCAGATCTTTAAAAATAAGGTAAATTCTGCTGCAGATTGTTACTTTATTATCCATTATTAGCCACAGACTAATGTATGGCAGGAAAAATTAGCAGTAGTGATGAAAAGAAAAGTTAGTGTTAATCTTCCTACAAATGGAAAATTAGATGCTGGTTGAGAGCTAGGCAGAGAGTACCAAGTGATTCGGGCAAGTCCATTCCAAGGGTCAGCATGCCTACACTGTAAATATGGACAATTTCCAAAAGGAAAGGACCATATTTCCCCACTAGCCTTTACTACATATGTGAGTCTAAAGCACAGACTGTGGGGCAGAATTCTCTCAGCACATCCAGAACTTTAGTGAGAAACACCAGCCTTCATTCAAGCCTCCATCCTCTCAGGAACCTGCTCTTGCTTGCTACCATCTTGCTAATTTAAGACATGATCCTGACATTTTTTTGCTAACATCATATAAAATGAGATTGTTACATAGCAGCTTCATGTCCACTACACAATCTAATTTATATAATATATTATATGCTATTATATGAGTGAGAAGAAGGTAAATTCTGTCAGGGAATGATTATTTTAAGATCTCCTTTTCTCTGACGTGCTTTTGTTTTATATAATACTTGTTTGATGACGGGATACTACTCTCTCAGCTCCCAGAAGTAACAGAATTGCACGTATTGATCACAAATTAGACATGCTGAGGTAATCACAGTTGATACACAGGGGACTGCAACTCTGATGTGTGAGAGAAAATCATATAATTACATCCTGAGAGAGGTGATGGACCAAAACCCAAGAGAAGAGTGCACTTAATGAGACCAGGAAGAGTCAGAGGGGCAGTTACCCTGGTAATAGTGAGATGGAACATTTAAATGTGGTTTCACCAAAAATGCCCAATGGGTTGATCAGAATAGTGTTTTGAACCTATCAGTATCTAATGTCCATGTATATAGCACGAGAGCTCAAGCCCTTTATGACTGAGCCATTAGTGACCGAGCCGTGTCTTGTCCACGCTTCATGCTAGAACATTGCTTCCCAAAGGTATGTTAATGGGATACACAGGGGATGTATAGGGAATAATTTTCTTCTCAGAGTCTAGTATGATCCTGTATTACTGCAAGATACAGTATTCCAGTCCCTTACTCTTTCACAGGGTATGGATTTAATATGATTGTTTCAAAGAGCCATGACAATGTAAATATAGATAATCAAAGAACAAAAAATCTACATTTAAATTTGGATCAAGTAAAAAATATCCTTACAACTCTTCCTGGCAAGTAAATTAATGGAAAGGTGGAGTAAACCTCTCATGGGGCAGGCAATTTGATGCAGGTCATTAACCTTCACAAAATGCTCATTCATAGTGTCACATAAATGCAAATTAATTGAGATTACATTACATCCTCAGAACAATGAAACAGTTAAGCATCATTGTGTTTATGTATTTTCATATTTATCACTAATCTTACAAATGAAGGTTGGGTTTTTTTTAGTAGAACTATAAATAGTTAAATTACTATGTTGGGGCTTTTTAGTGTTTGATTTAAAATATAGTTTTGTTTATACTGTGCCCTTTCTTTAAGGCGTGATGCAATGATTCAGTATCCTTTATATACTAACAATGATTATTTTTCCAACAAAAAAATTGTGCTGCCAAAATAATGTCATAATTAAGGCACAGTAAATAACTTGAAGCAATCTCACTGAGGATATTTTGCTAGTGTGTCTCTTTGACACACTGATGCTTTTTAATTAAGCCTCACATTTGGAAGAGTAAAGCTGGTGCACTTTGAATTAAAATGGGAAGTTTGGGTTTGATTC